TACAGGCATGCGCCACCATGCCCAGCTGATTTTTTCTATTTTTAGTAGAGACGGGGTTTCACTATGTTGACCAGGATGGTCTCGATCTCTTGACCTCCTGATCCACCCGCCTCGGCCTCCCACCACCCGCCTCGGCCTCCCACCACCCGCCTCGGCCTCCCAAAGTGCTGGGATTACAGGCGTGAGCCACCACGCCCGGCCATTGGTGTTTTTAAATGATGTATCTGTATATAATAAAAAAGATTATTTACCTAGTAAGTCCTAGACCATACTTTGTCTGGCTATTTCTAGAATTTAACAATTTACAACACTTCAAAAATTTAAAGCTGGGCACAGTGGCTTATACCTGTAATCTCAGCACTTTGGGAGGCTGAGGCAGGCAGATCACAAGGTCAAGAGATTGAGACCATCCTGGCCAACATGGTGAAATGTTGGCCCATCTCTGCTAAAAATACAAAAATTAGCTGGGCGTGGTGATGCTCACCTGTCATCCCAGCTACTCGGGAGGCTGAGGCAAGAGAATCTCTTGAACCCGGAAGGTGGAAGTTGCAGTGAGCCAAGATCGTGCCACTGCACTCCAGCCTGGTGACAGAGCAAGACTTCATCTCAAAAAAAAAAAAAAAAAATTTAAAAAGGAACATTTTACAATATGTATACGTTACATGAAACGTGTTATCTAAGTATCTGGCTACTCTAATAGCTAAAAATAAGTGGCATAAACTCTCAAAACATTCCAAATGTAAGTAGCTCAGTGCTGATGGAATAACTGTGATTTGGGGACACAGGTTCTGCTATTCCTAACATGCAGCTTCTGTGTCATGGACTTAAATCCAGCTCCATCTCAGCTGTATTACAGCCCACAGGACAGGGTTGCCTTTATCACATCCTGGTGCTAGTAGTGCCCATGCCCTGCCCCATAAGAAAAACTGCAACAGAAAAAAGGAAGACCAGGTATGGGGGAAGGAGTTACTAGTGGCGTGTTAAGTGAATGTTTAACATCTGGCTCTGGAGGGCTAGGATGGGGAGCTCTGATGGTAGCATTTGCTGGTTTTTGTGGTGTAAGTAGTCCCGCTATGGTCAGTTTCAAGCTGCAAACCTACACTTCCTGAAGGAGGAATTAGGAAGAAATGCACAGTTAGCTCTGGCAAGCTGGTAAGAGCAGACTTTAGCAAACCACGGAGTTCATATAGCCATCTCTGCCATAGGTTAGGTTATAAGATGCTAAGGGGAAAAAAAGAATTTAAAAAATATAAAACCAGGCCAGGTGCAATGGCTCATGCCTGTAATCCCAGCACTTTGGGAGGCCAAGGCGGGTGGATCACCTGAGGTTAGGAGTTCGAGACCAGCCTGGCCAACATGGAGAACCCCTGTCTCATTAATAAAATATGTGTGTGTGTGTGCGCACGCGCGTGTGCGTGTGTGTGTGTTTGTGTGTATGTATGTATGTATGTATATAAAACTGGCTGGTGCGATGGCTCACCACTGTAATCGCAGCACTTTAGAAGGTGGAGGCAGGAGGATGGCTTGAGCTCAGGAGTTCAAGATCAGCTTGAGCAAAACAGTGAAACACCCGTCTCTCCAAAAAAAAAACCAAAAAATTCCCAAGCATGGTGGCGCACACCTGTAGTCCCAGCTACTTAGAACGCTGAGGCAAGAGAATTGTTTGAGCCCAGGAGGCAGAGGTTGCAGTGAGCTGAGATCACACCATTGCACACCATCATGGGCAACAGAGTGAGACTGTCTCAATAATAAACATTTAAATTTAAAAAAATTTAAAAATTATAAGAGTGTCTTGAAAAAAGTTATTAGAAAACTTGGTTCGTACTCTTGAATAAATTATTAAACATGTATACTCATATACATGCTGGCGTGGGTGGAGAAAATCTGAGTAATAAATGGAAAATGGTAACAGTATGTTTACTGTGAGTCATGGGGCTGGTGGTTGAGAAATGGTGTTTAGGAAAGATGGCTTTTACTTTTTATTATGTCTATATTGTTTGGAATTTTTATAGTCAGTTTGTATTTTTTAGTAATTTTTTAAAAGCCAATTAAACACTTAAATTAATTTCATATTAGGGTTAAAATGTACTGAGACTTCTTTTTCCTTAAAATTGGTACCTAATGTACAAAACTAAGACTAAAGGAGGCTATATATCCCCACCAAGGGTCCACACACCCCTTTCCTTTTTTTTGAGACGGAATTTCACTGTTGTTACCCAGTCTGGAGTACGATCTCGGCTCACTGCAACATCCACCTCCCGGGTGCAAGCAATTCTCCTGCCTCAGCCTCCCCAGTAGCTGGGATTACAGTCATGTGCCACCAACCCAGCTAATTTTATATTTTTAGTGGAGATGGGGTTTCTCCGTGTTGGTCAGGCTGGGCTCGAACTCCCAACCTCAAGTGATCCACCCACCTCGGCCTCCCAAAGTGCTGGGATTACAGGCATGAACCACTGCACCCGGCCCCACCTCTTTCAGAGCTTATTGACTGAAACAGAACTAATTAGTTCTGCTATCCCAAACATCATGTAGCCCATCAACTTCTCATTCCCAAGTGTGAGGTGTCAGCCTAGTCAACAACTAAACAGCTCTGCCCTGCTTTCTTTCCCAGGCAAGAAGGCAAGGTTAGGGGTGGGAAGGAGATGCTTATCTTGCCCTGAAGTCAAGATGGACAAATTCAAAGATTTGGACTTGTATGTAATAAGAAGTGTTTAGTATCTTATTCCCTGCTAAATGTTTGTTGAGCTGTAAGCTCACCCTGTTGCAGCCATCAAAGTGGAAGACAACATGGGAAACCTGTGTGTTCTCCAACGTTTAGGGATGTACATAAATTATGTATTTAGAGGGAGAGAGAAATACACGTATACCCTCTTCCTACTTTATTGTTTTTTTTTTTTTTTTTTTTTTTTTTTTTTTTTTGGTTTTTTTTTTTTTTTTTTTTTTTTTTTTTTTTCATTTGAGACGGAGTCTTACTCTGTTGCCCAGGCCAGAGTGGAATGGCACGATCTCAGCCCCTCGGGTTCAAGCAATTCTCCTGCCTCAGCCTCCCAAGTGGCCAGGGTTACAGGCGCCCACCACCGTGCCTGGCTAATTTTTTATGTTTTTAGTAGAGAAGGGGTTTCACTCTGTTGGCCAGGCTGGTCTCGAACTCCTGACCTCATGATCCGCCCGTTTTGGCCTCCCAAAGTGCTGAGATTACAGGTGTGAGCCACTGCGCCCAGCCCTACTTTATTGGTTTTAAATTTAGGAATATAATTTCATTGCTTCTAAAATGTCTTCCCACTTCCATGTAAAAAGTCCAGGGAGTTATTTAAATCTAGTTTTTTTGTTTTTTTTGTTTGTTTTGTTTTTTTTGAGACGGAATTTTTCTCTTGCCCAGGCTGGAGTGCAATGGCATGATCTCGACTTACTGCAACCTCTGCTTCCTGGGTTCAAGTGATTCTTCTGCCTCAGCCTCCCAAGTAGCTGGGTTTACAGGTGCTTGCCACCACACCCAGCTAATTTTTTTTGTATTTTTAGTAGAGACAGAGTTTCACCACGTTGGCCAGGCTAGTCTTGAACTCCTGACCTCAGGTTATCCACCGCCTTGGCCTCCCAATAAATCTAGTTTTATAATGCTACTTTTAAAGAGTTGCCTATATGTAGGCCAGGTACAGTGACTCACGCTTGTAATCCTGTAGGGTCCAGCCCTACAGGGTCCTGTGAGCCCGTCTACAGGTGTGGAGATGAGAAACTGTGGAAATAAAAGACATAAGACACTGAGAAAGAGAAAACAGAGTTTGAGCATGGAGTCTGGCAGTGGCCCAGAGTGCCTGGACACTCTGACTTTTATTGAGTACAAAGCAGGGGGCAGGGTAAGTAGGGTGAGATAATGGTGGTCACTGATAGGGTCAGGTAAATCACGTGTCTTGGAGATAGGGGACCCAGGTCTTTCAAGTAGCCGAGGCAAGGAGAAAACCTAATGCATCAGCACTTTTCTCATACTTGTCAAGAAAGAACAAAGACTTTGTTTATGTTCTAAGAAAAAGAGTAACCAGGTGCAGAAGCGGAGCGTGAGAGTGGACATGGGACCACTGAAGCACAGCATCACATAGAGACAGTTAAGCCCCTGGATGTCTGCTGGTGTACCTGACAGCTGTCAGGCCTACCACAAGAGCATGGAGAAGCGGAATTTTCTCCTAACTCCCCTGAGGAAGGAGACGTCTCGGACATTTTGGACGTCTCCTTCCCTAGCTGCCAGCTAAGCACTGGGCGCTTTCCCAGCTCTGGTGCTGCTGCACAGCTGAGGGGCCTTTCAACAGCCTTTATGCGGGCGTGATAGAGGGCTTAGAGCATCTTGCCTTAGGATCACTTTGTTCACATTGTCACCTCAGTTCTGTGCTTCATAACCCAATAATCATTGGTAAGATTAAAAGATTATATTGAGTATATACATATTTCTGTGATTACATATATGTGATTATTCATGATTATATATATAGGAATAACTAGGTAACTATAATTCTTTTTTAGTTCTATATTCATATGGGAACAGGCTGAGGCTTCAGACCCTTGCCTCGGCACTTATAGGGTCTCCCACAGGATCTTCCCCTGACATAATCCCAGCACTTTGGGAGGCTGAGGCAGACAGGTCACTTGAATTCAGGAGTTTGAGACCAGCCGAGGCATCATAGCAAGACTCTGTCTCTACTAAAAATACAAAAACTTAGCTGGGCATGGTGGTGCACCCCTGTGGTCTCAGCCGCTCAGGAAGCTAAGATGGGAGGATGGCTTGAGCCCGGGGTTGGAGGTTGCAGTGAGCCAAGATCGCACCACTGCACTCCAGCCTGGCGGATGACAAAGTGAGAACCCTATCTCAAAAATAAAATGAGTTGCATAAATAGTTTTTTACTTTTTTCTTTTCTTTCTTTTTTTTTTTTTTTTT